CCCCCCCCCCCTCCCCCGTGTTGTGGTACCGATGTAGGTTCGGTGGTGTCAGACACCGCGGGAGCGCAATTAGCATTAATTAGGGCGGCTCTCCCTGCCCGGTCTGTCTGCAGCTGTAGCCGCCGCGTGACAGCGGCTCTGCCCTCTCCCCCCCCCCCCAGGCTCTGTGCCCCCAACTTTTTTTTTGGGGGGGGAATGGGGAAGTACCCGGAGGAGCTCTGGCTGGGGTGTGCAGATCACTGCCACGCGGCACAACTGTGTTATGGGGCTGCCCTGGTCCCATTCCCATCCTCACCCCCATTCCTGCTCCTTCCCTGTCCCACCCCTTTTCCCCCTTTCCCATCCCACTGCCTTCCCCTTCCTATCCCTGTCCCCATTCCATTCCTATTCCCATCCCTGTCCCCATCCCTTTCCCTTCCCTCTTCTATCCCCGTCCCCAACCCATCTCCCCTCCCATGCCTGTCCCATCTCTATCCCCATCCCCAGTCCATTCCCATCTCTATCCCCATCCCTGACCCATCCCTATTTCACTGCCATCCCTGTCCCTTTCCTGACCCATCCTTGTCCTGTCTCTGTCCTCATCCCCCTTCCATTCCTGTCCACACCATTGTTGTCCTATTCCTATCCCTATTCCTGTCCCCATCCCCAGCCCTTTTCTATCCCTGTCTCTGTTCCTATCCCCATCCCATTCCTGTCCCTTCTGTAACACATCCCTGTCTCATTTCTATTCCCATCCCTGTCCTTGTCCATCCACATTCCTATCCCTGTCCCTTCCCTGACCCATCATTGTCCCATCCCCACACATCCCCCCCTGCTCTCTGCCCCCCATCTCCCCACCCTGCCCCCCCGTCCCAGTACACCTCCACGGGGCGATGCTTTGCATTCATTAATTTACCATTTAATTACCGCCTGTTTGTTTATTGTTTGTTTGCTTTCCCTGCCATGAATTTTTTATGACCATTTCTATTGCGTGGCCCAAAGCTGAGATTTACAGCCCTGCTGTGCACAGCAACACCCAAACAGGGGGAGGAGGGGGACATCTGTGGGGCATGACCCACATCGCTGGGGGGGGAGCCCCATTTGCGTGGGGCTGTTACCCCTATTTCTGGGGAAGTTTGGCCTATATTTCTGGGGGCTGTGATTCCCATTTTTGGGGGATGTGACCCACATCTCTGGGGGGTCCCCATTTGTATAGGGATGTGACCCCCCATTTTCTGGGGGTGGGTTGACCCATATCTCCAGGGTGTTTGACCCACATTACCGGGGGGGATGTGATCCCCACTTCTAGGAGAGTGTGACCCACATTTCTATGGGGCTATGATCCCCATTTTGGAGAGGCTGTGAGCTCCATCTCTGGGGGTTGTGCCCCACATTATTGGGGGGATGTGATCTCAATCTCTGGGGTTGTGACCCACATTTATAGGAGTGTGCCCACATTTTGGGAGGGTGGAATCCCCTTTTCTGGGTCTCTAGGACCCCCATTTCCAGGGGTTGTGACCCTTATTTTTGGGGGGCTGTGTCCCCTATTTCTATAGAGGTGTGATTCCCATTTCTGGGGCATGTGACCCCATTTTCTGAGAGGTGGAATCCATGGTGCACGACCTCATATCCCCACTATGGGATGTGTTTCAGGGAAGGGTCCTTCCATGGGGCCCCACTCTGGTGAGCAACAACTGAGGGGGGGTTGTGGAGCTTTGTGCTCAGGTGCAGCACCACATTTCCCATTAATGCAGCACTCCATCAGGAGGGACTGGGGGGGGTTGATGGATTCCCCCCCGCGGCTGCTCCTCTGTCACAGTGAATAATATTTGCAGAGAGGCCGTAAAACACCACGGTGATTCAGCAGGGCTGCAACCCCGCCCCCCCAGCTCCCCCCTCCATCTTCTCCACCTGAATGTGGCTGCGCTCAGCTGTGCACACGTGTGGGTGCATGCATTTGCACACATGCATGCTAACACATGTGCATGCATGTGCATTTGCACATGTGCACACATGCATGAAATGCCTTGGCGCACATGCATGCATAGACGTAAGCACACACATGTGCATGCATTTGCAAACATGCGTGCATGTGCATTTGCACACATGTGCATGAAGGGTGCATGTGTGCACGGGGGGGTGATGGGGGGCTCCAGGTTCAGGATGCAGCACCTGGTGGGAAGGGTGGGGAGTAATTGGGGGGGCAATGAAGGGGGATGTGGGGGCAATGAGGGGAGAGGGGCAATGAGAGGTTGGGGGGGATGGGGGCAATGGGGGGTGAAAGGAGGCAATGAGGGGGGATGGGGGCAATGTGGGGCTGGGGTGGCACTGAGGGGATAAAGGCAATAAGGGGGGGCAGTGTGGGGGAAAGGAGGGGGTGGTGAGGGGAAGTGTGGTGCTGGGGGAGGCACTGAGGGGATGGGGGGACAAAGCGGGGGGGAGGGGCCCGGCTCCTCGTGGTCCTTTATGGAGCTCCGATGGATTCGCAGCACCGTTCCCAAATGCACAGCAGCATCTGTTGGTGCCAGGGAGATTTGCATGGCTAAAAAATGTAAATTGGGCGTTGTGTCATTTATCATCAACCTGGGGAGCGGGGGGGGGGGTGAGGTGATGGGGGGGAAGTTGTCGGAACAAATCACAGCGCCCATCCATCGCCCGGCAGCGCTGCGCTGAGTTCAGGTTCAGGTGGGGTCGGTGCCATCGGAATGGCGAAGATGAGGCACACGCACGGGGTGGGGAGAGAGGAGGAGGAGGCGGGGGAGGGTGGTTGGGGGGGGGGGGGGG